CTGCAGGGGGAAGGGGGGAGGGGGGGGAGAAAAGCTCCTGTGAGTCAGAGTAATAATAATAATAATGTGTGTGTGTGTGTGCGTGCGTGTACGTGTGTGTGTGTGTGTGTGTGTGTGTGTGTGTGTGTGTGTGTGTGTTGTGTGTGTGTGTGTGTGTGTGTGTGTGTTATATTCACAGCTATCCACACGTCATTAATGAATTGAATGTCATAAGCTGTGATTGTAGTCCCATGAAAAATATATCAGTTACGGAGAGAAGAAAAGAAAAAGGTCATATGAGTGAGAGTATTAAAAAATAAGATAAAAAAGAGTATAATGTTGTGAATCCCGAGTTCAGTGATTAAGTGTGTGTGTGTGTGTGTGTTTTGTGCCGTATTTTTTTCTTTTCTTTTTTCTTTTTTAAGAATGGTGTGGTTGATATGGTGTTTGTGTTTAGTATAGTAAGTGGTAATTGGTGTTAATGAGGGTATGGTACTTGAGTAAAGCTTGAGATACGTTTGTGTAAATACTTAAATAGGAAATCATTTTAAAACAGATATACATACACAAACATTAATAATAATAAATCACTTTTTGTATAAAATAAAATGCGCACATCATCATCAAATTCCACCATTGCTATCATAACCCAAGTTACCAATGGTATTTAATTTTTCGCTCTTACCATTACCATCGTTGTTAGCCCCATTAATTTCACCAACACCAGAAATATCTTCACCATCACTCAGACATCCTTCCTCACTAGAATCGACCCAGTGGAAAAGAATTAAACGCTGCCAACTTAATTTGCAACAGTAATCAAAGCCTGTGCTTGTAAATCGAGCATTTGTCTATCATCATCGCAACAAAGAAATCTTTATTAGGTTTGATTACACTGATGGAGGTAATTAACTCTGTAATCAACTTTAATCGGTCATGCTACCTTTAAGAGGAAGGAGAAGGGCGAGACAACCATTCCTGGAGAGAAACGGTAAGAAGTGAAAGAGAGAGAGAGAGAAAGAGAGAGAGAGGAGAGAGAGAGAGAGAGAGAGAGAGAGAGAGAGAGAGAGAGAGAGAGAGAGAGAGAGAGAGAGAGAGAGAGAAAAGGGGGGAGGGAGGGAGAGAAGGAGAAAGAGCGAGATAGAGAGAGAGAGAGTATGTGTGTGTGTGTGTGTGTGCGCGAGAGAGAGAGAGAGAGAGAGAGGCAGACAGACAGACAGAAACAGAGACAAATTGACAAAAAAACAGAAGAGAAATACAGAGACAGACGCATTAGACAAATAGAGAAAGGGAGAGAGAGAGACACAGATTTCTGTATAAACATCCTTCCTCCAATTCCTCGTGCTATACATAAAGTACATATCTTTACTCTCCATCAGTACCCAATATATATCCGAATAACAATTTTACCTTAGAAAAAAAGAGAGAGAGAGAGAGAGAGAGAGAGAGAGAGAGAGAGAGAGAGAGAGAGAGAGACAGACAGAGGGAGACAGAGAAAGAAAGAAAGAAAGAAATCGCCTCAGCACTTTTACCTGAAAGAGAGAGAGAGAGAGAGAGAGAGAGAGAGAGAGAGAGAGAGAGAGAGAGAGAGAGAGAGAGAGAGAGAGAGAGAGAGAGAGAGAGAGAGAGAGAGAGAGAGAGAGAGAAACGCCTTTTCATTGAGTTCCTCTGCTGGTATGCTGCATAAATTCACAGCTTCATTACAAGAGATTACAAGGGTTAAACTCGGTGCTATGACTGGCCCGTGAGTCATTATCTCTAATGATCTGAAGCTGGATTATCAAGAGGAACGATGATTAACCATTAATTGCTGCGCATGCGGACAAATGTAAACAAATGTAAAGAAAGGAAACAAAAGATAGATAACAGATTCTATATATCAATCAGTCAGTCAGTCTATCTATCTACACACACACACACACACACACACACACACACACACACACACACACACACACACACACACACACATATATATATATATATATATATATATATATATATATATATATATATATATATATATATGTGTGTGTGTGTGTGTGTGTGTATGTGTGTGTGTGTGTGTGTGTGTGTGTGTGTGTGTGTGTGCGCGCGCGAGCGCGTGTGTGTGTGTGCCTGTATGTGTGCGTGTGAGTGTGTTTGGTGTGTGCTATATATTCAAACCTATTCGCACATCAACGATTGCTTATCACAAGCCATTATTGTAGCCCCCTGAAAAAAAATCATTTTACGAAAAGAAAAATACACCAAATTTCCCAATACTATACCCAGAACTCAGCCCCCCTCCCCACCCCGCCCACGCCCCCTCACAAAGTACATCATCGAACTCTAACTTGCAAATTCTCCTTCGCAATTTCGGAGCGACACGTCACAGCATATGCAGAGGATCATTTTCTTTGATCTGTTGAATGAATACATCAGCGCAGGGGTAACTAAGGTTTTCCGCCCTGGAGGTACGTTTCATGGGATCCTATTCATTGCAATAGCATGGATACGACGTGCTCTCTTCGCCATGCAG